CCCCCCCCCCCCTCTCTCTCTCTCTCTCTCTTCTGAATTTGAGTGTGTGTTTACTGTGTGAAATAATATTCCACCACAATGCTCTTGAACTTGAAACCCACCTTCAATCTCTCACCCGCCAGAGCAGCCACTGGAGCCGGAGGAGACGAGGTAGGATTCAAGATCCAGGTGCTCGATGAAATACCTGAAAGAAGAATGATCGCCATCGCCACCACCATCAGCCACAACAGCCTTCAACCCTACCTTTAGCCCTTAACGTCTCCGACACCACCAACCTCCGTCAGGAAAACCCTTTTGGAAAACTCTTATCTGAAGACGAAGGGCTCCCCTTCTCTCTCTCTCTCTCACTCTCTCTCTCTTTCTCTCTCCATCGTTAAAGCTTGGTGAACAAATCTGGGTAACGAAGAAGACGCACGGTGGCGGCCTAGGGATTCAACTGAAAGATTTTAATATCGGAGGGTTCGACAAGCCACCTATGTCGCTGGAGATATGTTTATCTTTACCATGTTGGACCTTCCATTGTGGTCATCCATCTCATGTTGATCGTCAGACTAGTCGAAGGTAACAAACCACTCCGATATCAGACGAATCAAGTTTCTTGTTTATCTACCGTATCTGTCGCATTTTTGTTATGCTTGTCCGATGGTGGTTGTAATTTCTAGTGGGTGGAGGAGGGGATCTTGACCGAACCTTTCATCCCCAAATAAAAAATCCCACTATTATTTCTAACCTTGAAAATGAAGATAATTGTGACTTATTCCATATTTTGGGGTTTCTCCTCCTGCCTCCATGTGGGAGAATTCCGACATCGTTCTTTTGAAATTCCATAGGGCATGAGATATTAGGGTTCAAAAAGGATGATGGATTCCAGTGTTCAATCTTTCTGACGATGATACTAATCTTTCCGACGATGATATTGTTGTGTTCTTCGATTCCAAAGAACAAAAAATGGATGCAGGTGACTGCAACCAAGGCACATGTAGTCTGATTCCTTTTCTTTTGATTTTTCCCACACATTCATCCAAGCTGCAATAACTAGTGGTCAAAGTAGAAGATAATGGGGATGGACAGTTCTTTTAAGGTTTTGAGAGAGAGAGAGAGAGAGAGAGTTTTATCTTTTTTAATTTCTTTTTTATTTTTCTTTTCAAAAGAAAAATATCTAAATAAATAAAAAAAAACTAAAAAAGCAAAAAGCAATGGCAAAATCATCATTATAAAAAAGTTCAAAGCAAATTGGACCAAACTCGCAACAAAATGAAAAGTTTGGACTTCTGGTGCTAGTCCAAACCTTTTTGGACCAAAGTGACAATTTTCAGCTAACCACGGAGACCATTTGTGCAGTTTTGTCTATATATTAACAAATGTTATTTTTAATATATACTATTTATATATTAATAAATATTGTTTTATTAGATTATTAGTTTCTTTTAATTAAATTTTTTTAATTTCTTTGTTATCGGATATTTTAATTGGATTATTATATATAAATAAATATTATTTTTAATATATAATATATATATATTAATAAATTGTAACATCCCGAAATAAGGTACGTTTATCATTCTTGAATCTTTTCCTAAAGTGTCAAAATTAGTCCCTACTAGAGAAAAGATAGCAAGAGCCGTACGTGGGGCATACGCATGAGTACGCGCAGCGTACTCAGGCGCCATGCATAATCGCGGAGGACCACCTAGTAAACTGGGCGTACTAGGCTCAGGTGCAAAACCCTAATTTGGAGTTGTCCCATATATAAAGAACATTATGGCCTCATTTCTAACCACCCTTATCAGCCTCCAGCCCTCTCCAAAACCCTAATCGCGTGTGTGTGGCTTGAGTGTGTGTTATTGCAAGTTTTGAGTGTTCTTGACCCTTGTAGTTGAAGAAGGAGTTTAGGGAAGAAGAAGAAAGTGCTAGTAAGCTTGAAGATCCAGGAACTTCCCACCTTTGTGCATCATTTTCAGGTATAAACCTTATACCTTGGCTAGTATTCTTCTAGATCTCTTTAGTTTAAGATTTATGAGCTTAAGACCCTTTCATGCATCTTAAGACATCTAGATTGATAAAAATGTTTGCTTGATCTTTCCTTTTGACTCATACATGAGTAAAGTAG